TAAGTAAGAGAAAAATTTAACAAATTACTAGCATCTAAACACCGCAGCATCCGTTAAATATTTAATAAGTGACAATTTTCTCTTGTGATTGAATGTCTTAGCTCCAGGGGTGAACGCCTCAATCCAGATTGGCTTCTTCCCCCCCCCCAGCCTCCCTCCTCTTCATCTGGGCCTGGCTGCCTCTGTTCTAGCCTGGAGGAAGCTTAAACTGAAAATGATGCTAACGCTGTCAGTCAGGTCCAGTCTAGGCATGATGTTGTTCATGTCAGCAGCAGACACTTAAAAGGACAGGAAGTAGAGAAGTTGTTCTTGTTTAAGTACAGTGAGATCCTAGTAAGTCTAGATTCCATACCCACCCAAGTGATTCTAGAATATGGGCCCCAGACGTCTATCAGTTCTTAAAAAAAAAGACACACAGTCAAACTGAGCCAAGATCATATATTGTCATACTCAGTGGTGCAGCATTTACACATTTTGTTTATGCTCAAACAACAATTTTAACCAACCAAGCATAGGCCAGAAATGGGTCACATATTGGACTGACCAGATTGCAACACACACAGCTGGCCAAGATTACACCTCCAGAGCATCACCAGAAACAGTGGGGACAAACATTTTGACAAGGCACCATGTAGAATATTGAGAAAGGCAAGCAAGTTGGATCCAGAAACAGACAGGTGTTCAGATTAAGAATACAGAATAAATATGGCTATATGTTTACCAGCAAGACCGAATGAACCAAAACATGGCCTTTAAGTAACTACAAGCTTTCGACTTTATTCCTTAAAGATTTTTATTTCTGTATCAACAGATCATCATAATATGCATATGTTGTTCTTGCATTTATTTCTGGAAGATTAGGACTCCTCACTTTTAGCACCAAAAAAAAATTTAGACCTAGTGGACTGGACAGTAGATATGCGGGGAGATGGCAATAGAAATTTACCCCATGGCTTGCCTGTGAGCTAAACATCCATCTCTAAGAGAAGCAAAAACCCAATAAGAACACCTTTTCTGCATGGCATAGGCCATGCTAACGTATACTTACATGTTATAATAGCAAAATCCGGGCTTAAGAAATTTAATGTAGAATATAACTAGACAGGCGTCATTGGATGTCTGGTGTTCAAAAGACATTTATTTTTCTCAGTGGCCAACAATAAGATGTTCTCTCACCTTGGCTGCTCGTAAAAGCATTTCTCGTTCCTCTTCATCCTTCCTCTGTTTTTCCATGTGATCCAGCTTCTCAAGAAATTTAAGTTGTGCTCTGGTGTCACTAGATATGATATACTTATTACTTTCCTGCAAAGAAATAATGATTATAAAAGCTTGACCAGCTCTAATACGACTGTTAAAAACTTATCCTAGGTCAAATAAAAATGTATTGGAAAGAAGCTTTTTCAAAGCTGATCATTGTAAGTACTTTCCATACGATTCTGCTTACAAGAGAATCCATCTGCATGTCTCCTCTCCAACTACAGTATGGTCCTAGAGGTCTGTCTATTCAGCTACTTAATAGCCAGCCCTCTGCCATTAGCATCCTCTATTTGACTCCCTATCCTCACTGTCTAACAAACTTCCGTTTTAGATGTGTGTGATTTGAAACTGTCAGTTTACACCTAAGGGGGGGGGGGGAACACACATACAAACCATTTTCTTACTAAAGAAACTTTTTTTTTTAGTCAAAATGTTATACAACTAGGATATATATGATCCATTTTTACCACTTACTTAAGAAAACCATCGTAGAGATAGGAACTATATTTCACACTGCTGGCAAAATATAATCATTTAAATATTGCAGCATTGTTTCAGCTAGTCATTCCAGATTGTGAATTAAGCCTTACTGGTATTTCCAAAGGGATGGAAGAGGGGACTACATTTTTTCCAGAACCAGCTAAAAGATATTTAGATTGAGAACCAGAGTGCACATTAGCACTGTTCATTATAGCTTTAGGAATATATTTTCACCTTGGTTGATTAACAATTCCCATTAATGCTAACGGTAATTATGGTACATTTGTGCATGAAGTTGAGTATAGGTAGAGTCCTGCAAATCCACGGATATCTGCAGATCATTTTTGCGGATTGGATGTGGATACAGTTTTTGTAACCGCGCAGAGCTCTAAGTACAGGACCCTTAGTGTACATGAGTGGTAAACACCATCATTGCTTCCCTCCTTGAGTTCTTTGAATGGAACATACTTTTACCCTTTCTAGATATAAAAAGGTAAAAAACCTGATTTAAATATGCCGGGCATGGAAGGCTAATTTTAATACTATTTTTGTTCTTATTCTTTAAATTTTATATTTAATATGCCATGTACTATCCAGAAAATATGTAGACAAGATCAAAGTGGACTTTTTCATTTGTTCTAGGTAAGTTACTTGAGTGTCTCCTTTTACTGGTGGTACCCTTTTCCATCTTATCTCAGAGAAACTGAAACCTTGAGACCCATGTAATCCTTTTCTCCCCCCTCACCACTAAGTTTTCACCAGCCCAGCCCATTCCCATGTTCATTTTTTAAAAAAATACTCCTCCTACAGATCTGTTCTTGTCTTTTTGTCCCTTTCTCACATGGTTCATGGAACATTCACCCCTTCCTTCCTCAGGTTGCCCCAGCCCCTAATGTTATCCCCTGTAGCGTGTTTATGATGTAGTCTTGTTAGGCAAATATTTTGGGATTGGCTTTGTATTTTAATCATCATTGTTGTGTTACAAAATCACTTGGGGCAGGATGACGCTATACCACAATACCACATTATTTTGAATATGGTGTCTTTCAAAAGAGTACCCCCACATACTTTACAGCATGCACAATAAGTTTATGGGGCAAGGATAAACTCAAACATGTGAGCAGTCGGTGATTTAAGTTCCATCTTTAGCATTTTAGTTTACACATTCCACAGAAAGAATCCAGTGCCAAACAACAACTTAAAATGGAAAAAAGTATAAAACTAGTGGACACAAAGATATCTTAAAATTCACGACTCAACCCTCTACTAATGCAGAATTCTCAACCAACCATTGCCCCAGACCTAACCAATCCCTTTCTCTCCCCTTATCTGCAGCTTGAGCCCCTCTTCTAATTTATATTGCGGTATTGCCCCAGGAGCCCAATCAGAGGCCAGGCTCCCATTGTGTGAGGCATTCTAAAAAACCCAAGGTAACAGTTCCTGCTCCCAAAAAGCTTGCAATCTAAGTAAGAAACCCTAAAGCACACCCGTGAATCCCATCCTTCTTTGTCCTAGTCACTCAGTTTTGCTATTGCTCTAGGTCTTGCACCATTCCCCACAGGATGTGCATGATCCTGAAAGTCAGTATTGGTACAGTAGTAGAATTTGTTTTGAAGTAGCAACCTAGAATCCACCATGTTGCAATATTGCTTTGAATGGCAGGTAAGGAGGCTGTGTGAAATTAAAATGCTTAAGACCCTTTACCAGTTTGGAATATCAGACATACAACCCGAAGTTCCCAAATGCAAGATTTAAAGCTTAAGTAGTGTAGGGAATAGAGTTTTCTTACACTTCAATAGGTAACAGCATCATTCTCAACTTTCATAGAGGAAACAGGACTCCGAAATTAGGTCTCTGAAGTAAGGCAGGAACTATTTTTTCAATTGTTTAGTTTTAAAGTTCAGTTATATATGGAATATGTAAAAACCGAACATGTTAACTCAACAGATCTGCTCCCTGTGAACATTTGGCATCATAACCACTTGTTTTACAGTGATAAATCTATACACTTTACTCCTGTTCATACTGTAGAACCAATAATGCTACGTGAGAGCAAGATTCTGTTCACAGTCACGCGCCAACATAAGATTAAACTGTGCCGAGCTACACCTGTGCAATTCCAGCAAAGACACTGAGGTTGCACAGGTGTAACTGAGGGCACAATTTGGTCTGCATAATCTATTATTGCATATCACAAGCCAGAAAGCTGGATTCATATATCAGGTTGAGTTTGAATGGCTGGCAGTTCAAACAAATATCCTTTTGTTTTAAAACTGAGCATGTTTGCCCTGGAAATAATTGCAAGGCAAACACAGAACCCTCCCCAAGTGACACTCCAAGCATGTTTTCAGACTGGAACTGCACTTTAAAAATCTCATGTGTGTAAGCTTAAATTCTACAGTCCCCCCTCATTTTTGTGTGTGCAATGCATGAAGTCCTAAAAGGGCATTGGTGCAGGTTAGTCTAATATGTTGGCTAAAGTGTACATAACTCTCCAAATATTTTACCTTAATTTTGCATGTATACATAAAGTTATTTCCACATACTCTAATGAAATGTCTCTGCAGCAGCTAGATTATAGAGGATTATGAGGCATGTCTTCAGTGGGAAAATACCTGGCAGCAAGTTCAAAAGCAGGTATGTTCCCTATACGTGACTTGCTGTTTCCTTACTCAATCATGCTGTTCTGAATGGGAACTCTGACAAAAGCAGCTGTGGTTTAGTATGCCAACTCCTACCAAGAATTCCCCCCAAATTGGGGCAACAAAGAAAAACAGAGACCCCTTGAGGAGTAGATGGTTCTTTCTAGCTCAGTCCAAACACACCAAAAAAAGGGACCACTAAGTGGAGGGAGCATTAAACTGCTTATAATAATGGCCACCTCTGTCATTTAGGCAGAGCAGGCTGCAGAATGTTCTAACAGTAGTTATCAGTTAAAGCCCCCTTTGAAAATGGCCACCATCTCTCCTTGTTTGCAATAGGACTGAAGCTACTGTTGCTCAAGAAAGATGGTGGGCTCATATGCCATGAAACAGCAGGGACACTCAGTCTGGTTGAGATGCTGGTCCCTCTCCATGGAATTCCCTATAGTACACCATTGCATCCTTCTGCCTCTGCAAAGAGGCATGGGGAAAACTGATCACTAATCCTAAAAAAAATGCTTAAGTGTAATACTTGAACAAAATTTCAGTGTGTTTTAACTATATGGGAAGTTTGAAGAGTGCGTTCAGTTATTGAGATTATTGGGCACAAAAAAGGCTGATGATAGGTACTAAATTGCTTGAAGGCCCTACTTAGTTTTAACTCCTGAACAGATTAGCAAACTCGCTGAGTACATAATGATATTTTCTGAGAAGTTACAAGTCAGCACAGTAGTTTGGGGGAGGATATATACATAAAGGTTTGAACCCTTGCTTTATGCAGAAAAACTCAACTTTATGGAGTTGCTAGTGATGTCTCCACAACACAGCCTAACTTCTCATTTGCTTTGACTGGTGTTCCACAGTGATCCATCCACAATGGCACCTAGATATGTCTCCCATACACAAAGCCCATCAACATGTAGGGAAAATTTGAACTACTCTTATGTTTCAATGCAGACAAGCCCAAGAATCTTTTGTCACTGTGTTGTCTAATTGCTTAAAACTGTTGGGACCCTTTTGAAATACCTTACAATCCTTTAATTTTGGCTAACCCGAAATTGTGTCATCTGCAAGATTTTCCAGCCTCACTATTGACAACTTCTTCCATCTCATTCAATACACTAAAAACTTCTTAGCAGACACATCTTAGATACTTTACTATTAACCTCTTTCCATGTAGAAACTGACCATTTATTCCCACTCTGTTCTCTAGCAAGTTTCTAAGCCATGACAGAATTTTACCTTGTATACCATGACTACATGAATACCTACAACAAGCTTTTGTGTCAACTATCAAAGGCTTTTTGAAAGGCAGTCATATCTACTGCTCTCCTTGAGCGATTCTGTTGATTTCCCCCAAAGAACTAATTAGGGTGGACAGGCAGGTCTACTTTTACAGAGCTTAAAGTCCATACCAATTTCTATCAGGATGGAGAATTTGGATGGAAGGAGCCTGGAACGTGCCCATACCAAAATTAAACACACTCTTTGCCTAGCAACAGGCTTACTTGGGGACATGAGCTCCTCTCATACACAGTTCATTTATTGTTTCATTTTTGTGGTCTTCCTATTGCTACAACCCATTATAAAACTGCATCATTGTATAACGTCACCCAAGAAGATAGCTGCTGAGATTGGCTAGCTTGCCCTCTTTTATTGATCTGCATTAACTACCAGTTATAACAGCTGTAACAACTTCGTATATTCATAGAGTAACTAGACTTATCTATGGATTCACACGTGTTGTAATGGCTATGCACAACAGAGCTAAAATTAAAAAGAGGTTATGGAAGCTTCAACATCACTTTCCTTACTTTTGAGAATAGGAGAACAATACAGCACATTTTAAGTCAGTTACTTTAATAAAAGACATTGAAAAAGTTGTGTCAGTGACTAGCTTACAAGATGCAGAATTTCATAGTG